TTTTGTACACCGTTATATACTCAAGTTATACAAGGGTTTTTTGGTCATGGAAAGTGCTCTCTTTTCAGCCCCCCTCCCTTGACCTTTTGATTGAAAGTACCTTCTTGTACCTGCAGATTCTGCGCTTAACCGCAACCTTTGCACTTAACCACAACACAACTTCCTATGTAAGCTTGAACTTTGTAAGACCTCTACGTGATGCTTCTTATTTTTAAAACATTTTCTTCCATGTTGCTCTTTTTCTACAAAGAAAGGGTATATTTCTCTTTTGTTGTTAATTTCATTCAAAGTCCCTTGCTTAGCATGTGCAAATTTCACTCAAAGACCCTTTCAATACTATATCCCATGCTGTGCAGTATGGTAAACTCTGTATGGACTTGATAATAATATTGAAATACAATAATTAAAAGCAAAATACGACAAAGACAAACATAAACTCATTTAACTCTGCTGCTCTAGAGATCAAGGCCTCTTCTACACTGCCATATAGAACACTATCTTATCTGCTTTGAACTGAATTTTAGGGCAGCGTAGACTCATATAATCCAGTTCAAAGAAGGTAATGTGAATTATTTGCTTTGATAACCTGGATTATATGGCAGTGTAGAAAGCGTCTAATATACAATGGAGCAATGGATTCAAATGGCAAGAAAAGAGATTCCACCTAAACATTAGGAAGAACTTCCTGACATTGTGAACTGTTCTGCAATGGAAGAGCCTGCCGGAATCTATGATACTATATCTGTGTGTGTGAGAGAGAATCATATCTATCTATCTATATTTATGACTGGATGGCTCTTTGTCAGGAGGGCTCTGATTACATTTTCTTGCCCTGGTGAAGAGAGTTGGACTGGATGGCCTTAAGTATTTTCTGTTGGTCATGGGGGTTCTGTGTGGGAAGTTTGCCCCATTTCTGTCGTTTGTGGGTTTCAGAATGCTCTTTAATTGTAGTGAACTATAAATCCCAGTAACTACAAATCCCAAATGTCAAGGTCTATTTCCTCCAAACTCCATCTGTGTTCATATTTAGGCATATGGAATTTTTGTGTCAAGTTTGGTCCAGATCCATCATTGTTTGAGTCCACAGTGCTCTCTGGATGTAGGTGAACTACAACTCCCAAACTCAAGGTCAATGCCCACCAAACCCTTTTTCTGTTGGTTATGAGAGTTTGTATGCCAAGTTTGGTTCAATTCCATAATTGGTGGAGTTCAGATGCTCTTTGATTGTATGGAAACTATAAATCCCAGCAACTACAACTCCCAAATGTCAAGGTCTATTTCCCCCCAAACTCCATCTGTGTTCATATTTGGGCATGTGGAATATTCGTGCCAAGTTTGGTCCAGATCCGTCATTGTTTGAGTCCACAGTGCTCTCTGGATGTAGGTGAACTACAATTGCCAAACTCAAGGTCAATGTCCACCAAACCCTTCTAGTGTTTTCTGTTATTCATGAGAGTTCTGTGTGCCAAGATTGGTTCAATTCCATCATTGGTGGAGTTCAGAATGCTCTTTGATTGTAGGTGAACTATAAATCCCAGTAACTACAACTCCCAAATGTCAAGGTCTATTTCCCCCAAACTCCATCTGTGTTCATATTTGGGCATATGGAATATTCGTGCCAAGTTTGGTCCAGATCTGCCATTGTTTGAGTCCACAGTGCTCTCTGGATGTAGGTGAACTACAATTGCCAAACTCAAGGTCAATGTCCACCAAACCCTTCTAGTGTTTTCTGTTATTCATGAGAGTTCTGTGTGCCAAGATTGGTTCAATTCCATCATTGGTGGAGTTCAGAATGCTCTTTGATTGTAGGTAAACTATAAATCCCAGCAAATCCCAAATGACAAAATCAGGTTTTTGTGAGTGAAAGACATACATTGAGTTGTTAGGTGTCTTGTGTCCAAATTGGGTGTCAATTTATCCAGTGGTTTTTGAGTTCTGATGGTATCACAAACGAACATTACATTTTTATTTATATAGATACAGCCTTGTGAATTTAATTTAAGATTTCATTTAAAGTATTATTTCTTGGATTTTGTTGCAGTTTGCATGAGTTCTGGTTAATTGAGAGTCTGTTGTGTTTTTTCTCTCTAAAGGAACTTTCCAAGTTCTGGTCTTTCCTTGCAGAGGAGAGAGAAATATGAGAAAGGAATAATGGGACAGGAAACTTCAGTGGGCATTTTGCTGCAGCCTCGGCCTGATGCCTGGAGCTTGCTGCAGTTCGGGTTTCAGCATTAGCATCCCGCTCAGGCCCTGGTCCTGGGAGGCTGGAACTAGACGGCACGTCTCCCACGGACCCAGTCCGGCCCTAACAACGGCCCTCTGATGTCACCGCAGCCCTGAGAGAAGGGAGACGACGGCGCCTGGGTTTAGAAAGCTCTGCAAATCTCTGGGGAATTGTTTGCAAAGAAACAAACATTCTCCAACGTAAGCTCTTTGAGATCCCTCGAGGGCATGCGCAGTGTGCAATTAACTTGTGTAGTTCACTGCCATGCCACAAGTTGTAGGGTTGCTCACACCACCTGCAGTGGTTTGTGTTTTTAATGGGATTAATGGGATTTGCAAACTCCTGGAAAATAAAGGCATTGAGAGGGACGTTTCATAGAATCATAGAGTTGGAAGAGACTCCAAGGGCCATCCAGTCCTACCTCTTGCCATGCAGGAACATGCAATCCAAATCATAGAATCAAAGAGTTGGAAGAGACCTCATGGGCCATCCAGTCCAACCCCCTGCCAAGAAGCAGGAATTTTGCATTCAAATCACCCTTGACAGATGGCCATCCAGCCTCTGTTCAAAAGCTCCAAAGAAGGAGCCTCCACCACACTCCGGGGCAGAGAGTTCCACTGCTGAACGGCTCTCACAGTCAGGAAGTTCTTCCTCATGTTCAGATGGAATCTCCTTTCTTGTAGTTTGAAGCCTGGTCAATAGGAGCATAGTGTCTAGATCCAGGGAAGTCATGCTACCCCTCTATTCTGCTTTGGTTAGACCACACCTGGAATATTGTGTCCAATTCTGGGCACCCCAATTCAAGAGAGATATTGACAAGCTGGAATGTGTCCAGAGGAGGGGGACTAAAATGATCAAGGGTCTGGAGAACAAGCCCTATGAGGAGCGGCTTAAGGAGCTGGACATGTTTAGCCTGAAGAAGACAAGGTTGAGAGGAGATATGATAGCCATGTATAAATATGTGAGAGGAAGCCACAGGGAGGAGGGAGCAAGCTTGTTTTCTCTTTCCCTGGAGGCTAGGATGTGAAATAATGGCTTCAAACCACAAGAAAGGAGATTCCACCTGAACATGAGGAAGAACTTCCTGATGTGAGAGCCGTTCAGCAGTGGAACTCTCTGCCCCAGAGTGTGGTGGAGGCTCCTTCTTTGGAAGCTTTTAAACAGAGGCTGGATGGCCATCTGTCAGGGATGGTTTGAATGCAATATTCCTACTTCTTGGCAGGGGGTTGGACTGGATGGCCCATGAGGTCTCTTCCAACTCTTTGATTCTATGATTCTTGCTTTCCTCCAGATTTTGGCTTCCTATGGCTTCCTCTCACATATTTATACATGGCTATCATATCTCCTCTCAGCCTTCTCTTCTTCAGGCTAAACATGCCCAGCTCCTTAAGCCGCTCCTCATAGGGCTTGTTCTCCAGACCCTTGATCATTTTAGTCGCCTTCCTCTAGACACATTCCAGCTTGTCTATATCTCTCTTGAATTGTTTAATCGATGGTCCAACCCCTGCTTTAAAACATCCAGGGATGGAGACTCTGCCACATTCTGAGGAAGTGAATTCAAACAGCTCTTACCATCAGGACATTCTTCCTAATTTTTAGGTAGAATCTTTTTTCCAAGAATTCTGTGTAATTAGGGGAACGTTATAAGGAAAATGATCATGCCTCATGTTCTTAAATGGTAGTGATGTGAACATATATGTGTTCGTGTTCACATTGCCGCCATCTAATAATACAGAGTGTGAGCATCCATGGGAAGTCATGCTACCCCTCTATTCTGCCTTGGTTCGACAGACTAAATCTGGAATACTGTGTCCAATTCTAGTCACCACAATTGAAGGGAGAATTTTTTTTTTTGGTCGTATCAGGAGCGACTTGAGAAACTGCAAGTCGCTTCTGGTGTGAGAGAATTGGCCGTCTGCAAGGACGTTGCCCAGGGGACGCCCGGATGAAGTGATGTTTTTATTGTTCCTTCTGAGAGGCTTCTCTCATGTCCCCGCATGAGGAGCTGGAGCTGATAGAGGGAGCTCATCTGCCTCTCCCCGGATTCGAACCTGTGACCTGTCGGTCTTCAGTCCTGCCGGCACAGGGGTTTAACCCACTGTACCACCAGGAGATGTTGACAAGCTGGAATATGTCCAGAGGAGGGTGACCAAAATGATCAAGGGTCTGGAGAACAAGTCCTATGAGGAGTGGCTTAAAGAATTGCGCATGCTTAGCCTTTATAAGAGAAGGCTGAGAGGAGACATGATGGCCATGTATCAAGATGTGAGGGGAAGTCATAGGAAAAAGGGAACAGGCTTGTTTTCTGCTGCCCTGGAGACTAGGATGCAGAATAATGGCTTCAAACTACAGGCAATTCCACCTGAACATTAGGAAGAACTTCCTGACTGTGAGAGCTGTTCAGCAGTGGAACTCTCTGCTCCCAAGTGTGGTGGAGGTTCCTTCTTTGGAGACTTTTAAGCAGAGACTGGGTGGCCATCTGTCGAGGATGCTTTGAATGCAATTTTCCTGTTTCTTGGCAGGGGGTTGGATTGGATGGCCCTTGAGGTCTCTTCCAACTCAAGGATTCTATGATTCTATGATTCGAAGTGGAAATTGCAGCTCTAGAGCTCACAAATTCAGATGGCCAATTGAAGACAGACGAATATTTTTTTTCTCCAAAATACATCTGGTCTCAAGCATTTCATAGAAGGGCTACTGAAGCTGTACATACCCAAAAAGACAGTTCAGGGTATCTCTTTGAACCTTCTGACTTGACTCTTCTTTGCTTTTCAAGGTAAATGTTGAAGACACTGTCGAAATGCTACCCAAGTCCCGGAGAGCCCTCACCATCCAAGAGATTGCAGCCTTGGCACGGTCCTCCCTGCACGGTAAGAGCCAGGAACGTGGCCTGATGTGGGTGCCTCTATTTTAGCAAAGGGGTGGAAATACCACCAGAATGTGATTAAACCTATCTGAGGCAATTAGCAAAGGTAACATGGGAACTGTTTTGAGTGTGCTAGGGTGCTTGGACCAGCGGTCTAGAGTTGCAGCTACACCAGACGTGGGTAAACTTCAGCTCTCCAGGTAGGCTGTTAGGAATTGTGGGAGTTGAATTCCAAAACACCTGGAGGGCCAGACTTTGCCCATGTCTGAGCTACACTGTGGAATTAATGCAGTTTGAAACCACTTTAACTGCCATAGCTCAATGCAGTTGTAGTTCAGTGAGACTCCAGCACAACTTGACAGAGGAGGTTAAAGACTTATGAAACTACAGCTCCCATAATTCAATAGTGCTGAGTCATAGGACCAGAATGAAGAAAGAGGCCAGGAAGACAGGTTCACCTTGTCTCCTGCACTGTACTAATAATATAATGTAATATAATATAATGTAATATAATATCCCTGAATCAAAATGCAGAAGTAGTTTCAGTTAATTCAAGACATGGAGGAAAATAGAGAGTGAGATCTTCCTCTTCCCAGTAGGCTCAGGTAAAAGCAAAACGCTGCAACTGCTCATCCTCATTAATAACTTTTGCCACCTTAATCACACTCTGATGTTGCTTGACCACATGTGTCCTGGTTTTGGGAAATAATGGAGGAAATGGGGGTCTTCAAAGAGTCCTTGCCTCCATCCTTGACTCCTTTCTGTCTGCCTAGGACCTTCTCAATACTGTTCTTCTGCATTTTTGAGAATTCTCTTGTATGTTCTATTTCACTTCCTATTAGAAGAAAAGTGAACATTGAAGCATAGTTATTTACTGAATACAAGTAAAAAATGGGTTGGAATTGTACAGATTTTCAGATATCATTGACTTATAACTCCCTGCATTCACTGTCATTGGCTATACTCACTGAAGCAGCTGAGGGCTGCAACTCAACATCCAGAGGATTGCCTGTATTCCAACTCCTGTACTAAAATGTTTTAAACACCTGAGATAATTGCCTCACTTTGCCTAACAGTTGGCTGAGCTGTAGATTGGAAGTCCCATAATCTCCAAAAAGTTGTTTGGAGCCCAGCTGATCTCCTTTCCCTTTCTTTCCTTTGCAGGCATTTCGCAGGTGGTGAAGGACCATGTGACCAAGCCCACGGCCATGGCCCAAGGCAGGGTGGCCCACCTGATTGAGTGGAAAGGATGGTGCAAGCCTATGGATTCCCCCGTGGCCCTGGAAAGCACCTTCAACTCCTATTCAGACCTCAGCGAAGGAGAGCAGGAGGCCAGGTTTGCCGCAGGTGGGACCTGTGAGGCGGGCGGGAGGGGATAATGAGGAGGATAGTGATTATACGTCTTTATGTTTCTGTTGCACTCCAGAGCAGGATCCCCTCTGACTCTAAACACCACACAGTTGAATTAAAATAGCAAGCAGTTTATTGAAGGTATTAAAAGCCAAAACAATAAAAAGTAATCCACAGTAAAAAGTAAATCCTTTTACTGTGAGGTGGGTGGGAGGGGATGATGATGAGGAGAGTGATTGTACTTCTTTATGTCCCACTTTAGTTTCTGTTGCACTCCAGAGCAGGATCCCTTCTGACTTTAAACACCACACAGTTGAGTTAAAATAGCAAGCAGTTTATTGAAGGTAATAAAAGCCAAAGCAATAAAAAGTAATCCACAGTAAAAGGTAAATCCAATTGATTAGGAAGAAAAAGGAGCAATTAGTCCATAGAGAAACAATCCACAGAAGCCCATAAAACCAGATGCTTGATCTCAAAGGCAATTGACAGCATAGGCACTTGAAACAGGAATCAAACAAAGGTCCAGGAACTTGGGATGAAGAACTTAACGTAGATCCAACGTTGCTTCATTTGAAGCTAGATTCTGTACTTGGCACTTTTATCCCCGACCTATTTCCCAATCAGCTAAGAGTGGATTTTTCCTTAACTTTGGTTTCACTTCCGCTGTAATTGGCTGAGCACCGTAATTGCTGGTTTGTTTGTCTTTGCTGGCTAAAAACACTTCTTCTGTTCAAGGCTTCAATAAAATTTACACCTGGAGATAACTGACCAGGGGACTACCATCATTCGAGCTGCATTCAGGCCCCACATTTCCAAAACTAGGCCCAGGAAACAGACCATCATCCCCATTCCCTTCAGAAACATCTTCATGGACAGCATCCCCATTCCCATCAGAGGAATCAACTTGAACATGAACAACATTGACATTCCCATCATCCAAAGCAACCTGATCATTAGACACAATCATAGGCTGAACAGGCTGACCTACAACAGTTTTTTAAAATGACACTCATAGCAGCTATAACATGCTCTCCGATATGGAGCATTTATTTTGTACAAATCCAGAAATGATCTGGAAGGGTGAGGGATCTGGAGCAAAAGCATAAGCAATGGGTTTATATTTTTGTAAGCAAGTTCATCTCATAACTGGGATGTTGGCAACATACCAGGTTCTAGGAATTGCATTCTGTACTGCAATACGGCAAAACAGTGGAGGTAATGCTTGGAAAGACAGAATCCATGGATAAAGAGGTGCTTGACCCATTCACCCTCTTCTACCCAGCACTTTCTGCCTGTACCTGGAAATGCTTGATGCAAGAGGAGATGGAGGAAATGGTGGCCAGGGAAGGATTAAGCTCTGCCCCCAAATTCTCTTCCCCAGATTACACTTCCCCATCTGTTGTTTATATATTTGGCAAGAGACCCAAATTCCCAAGTGGGTCTTTAAGAGACATCTAATTTCATCCTAGAGATGCCGTCTTGGCAAATGATTCTAAGTGCCATTTATAGAGTAGGATACGTGGACTCTGGGTGAAGGAGAAATTAATTCTGGGCTGGCTTGTGAGCTTTTATTTATTTACTTGCTTGCTGGATCTTTATCCCACCTTTCTCCTGATATAGGGTGTCTCCCACTTCTGGCAAGGAAACTAGTCCAATGTGGGCTAGGCAAAACTACGGTGAGGTGGATCTGGAATTGGTTAAATGGACGAACCCAGAGGGTGCTCACCAATGCTTCCTCTTCATCCTGGAAAGAAGTGACGAGTGGAGTGCCGCAGGGTTCCGTCCTGGGCCCGGTCCTGTTCAGGATCTTTATTAATGACTTAGATGAAGGGTTAGAAGGCAGGATCATCAAGTTTGCAGACGACACCAAATTGGGAGGGATAGCCAATACTCCAGAGGACAGGAGCCGGATTCAAAACGATCTTGACAGATTAGAGAGATGATTGGCCAAAACTAACACAATGAAGTTCAACAGTGACAAATACAAGATACTCCACTTTGGCAGAAAAAAATGAAATGCAAAGATACAGAATGGGTGACGCCTGGCTCGAGAGCAGTACGTGTGAAAAAGATCTTGGAGTCCTCGTGGACAACAAGTTAAACATGAGCCAACAATGTGATGTGGCGGCAAAAAAGCCAATGAGATTTTGGCTTGCATAGCCGTTCAGCAGTGGAACTCTCTGACCCGGAGTGTGGTGGAGGCTCTTTCTTTGGAAGCTTTTAAACAGAGGCTGGATGGCCATCTGTCAGGTGATTTGAATGCAATATTCCTGCTTCTTGGCAGGGGGTTGGACTGGATGGCCCATGAGGTCTCTTCCAACTCTTTGATTCTATGATTCTATGATTCTATCTCTTGAGTGGTGAAAACTTTGGGTTATAGTCTGTGTTGAACATTTTTAAAGCGACAGTTGATGTTGTTAGTATTTGTCTTTTGCTCCCCCCCCCCCCACTCCCTCCAATTTGGGACTGAATTGGAAAAAAAACCCCATCGCGCAAATGTTTATAAAATATTTATAAAATATTCAAAATTATTTGTAAACACAATCCATTAAAAAAGCACATGAGAAGATCCTACACATTCTTTAGGCAGGATAAGTCTTGTGCAATCAGTCCTGAAAGGCCTTTTGAAACTGAAGTCTTCCCCTGTTTATGGAAAGTCTAAACTCTCTGGGAAAGGCCTCTAATGTAGATGCCAGAACATGAGCGGGTTTTCATAAGCGAGAATACAATATTTCAGGTATCCTAGACCTGAGTCATATAGAGCTTTGTGCTATGTAGTTCAAAACTAACTATAGTCCAGCATTTGGTCAGTTCCTTTAAAATGTTCAGTCAAAAACAACAGAGTAGATTCACCACTACCCCGTTTGGAAAAATGGCGTTCACAACCTTTTTGAAAAGGAAAAACAATGTCATATCTTTTTGGCAAATATGAATCTCCATGAACATCTGGAGACCACCTTTTGACAAACATTAGTCAAGGAAAGGCATGGCCTTGCTAGAAGTCAACCCTTTGAACAAGTGATGTTCACAAGCATTCATGTAATGGCACACAGGTAACTCAGCTGTTAAACTGATAAACCATGTCTCTGAACTGCCAGGGACAAAGACATGCCACTGCACAAAATACCTATACTTAGCTAGCAGAGTTTTAAAAATGTTTCTTTGAAGTTGAAATTGCAGTTGCCCAAAACATATACTCTCCCTTGAAACGTTTTAGTTTAAAAATATGCACTCGGACAAAAACAAAGCCTTCTTTAAAAATTAACATATCTTAATCACAAACATCACAAACATCTTGTATTGATTCTGCATACAGGCATATTTATAGTTAGAGTATAGTTGCTCTGTGTTGAGAACACAGTGCATCATTCTTAATCAATAGTCCATAGTCCAAAGTCTTTAAGTATACATCTTATGAACGTCCAGATTGTATAACTATACTCACCGCTTCTCAAAGCAAACATATAATAAACTGTTCCTGCATAATTCCAAATGCCATTTGCTTCAATTGAAGCCCAAAAGCATACTGCATCCACCTCCACTGAGAACTAAAGCAAACTGCTAACACTGAAGTCCAAAAGCGTACTGTTAAGAAAATGTATTTATTTATTTACCCTATTTATACCCTGCCTTTCTCCACCCCAAGGGGAACTCCCTCCCTAGGGCTATTAGATTGGCCCCCTCCCTCCTGACATTTCGTAAATATGAAAGTATGGAACGGCTTAGACAATTTGATTGGAAAATGAGTTTAATAAGAAGACGCTGATGATTATATGTTTTTAATGGTTTTTGTATGGTTTTAATATTATGTACTAATGTTTTAAAACTGTATTTTCTGTTTGTTGTGGCATCAAATTGCTGCCAAGTTGTAAGCCGCTTTGAGTCACCTTTGGGCTGAGAAAGGCAGGATATAAATGCGGTAAATAATAAATAAATAAATAAATAAATATACACACACATACACAATGCAGGTTAACAAATATATACATTAACAAACAAATAGTGAAGGCTTGGAAGGTTGCCATTTCCAACAACCCCCAGTTATTGTTGTTGTTCATTCGTTCAGTCATTTCCGACTCTTCGTGACCTCATGGACCAGCCCACGCCAGAGCTCCCTGTCGGCCGTCACCACCCCCAGCTCCTTCAAGGTCAATGCAGTCACTTCAAGGATCCCATCCATCCATCTTGCCCTTGGTCAGCCCCTCTTCCTTTTTCCTTCCACTTTCCCCAGCATAATTGTCTTCTTAAAGCTTTCCTGTCTCCTCATGATGAAACCCCAGTTACCACTTTGTAAATAAGAGATGGCAGCCACTGGTACTGATCTGGTACTGCTGGATTTGGTACTGATCTGGTACTGCTGGATTTTGTCTCAATGTTTTATAAAAACTTCCTGTCCAATGGCCCTTCAAATATCTTAATCAATGTGAGGATTTCTTGAGGCTGGACCCTTCGCCACACTTCTCTGAGAAGAAGGCCTTAGATATAAATGGAACTTGGTTGCATATAGACATCCGTAAAACCTGGTCTCAGACTGTCCAAGTCACATGGAATCATTAGTGGGCATCAGATATTCTCTGCGGCTCAGGGACATCTGAAGCCAAGCTGATGGAAATCGGCCCGGATAGAAGACTAGTGGTTGGCTTTGTGCCCCAAAGGTATTCTGAATGAATTGATCCCGACACAACCTGGCAGGCTGAGGACTGGATTGAATGAATGCAGGCGGAATCCGAATGGACACACAACTGGCCTCCTGCACATTGTCGTGGCTCAAACAGCAGGCTAAAGATTGACAGCTGCGTGCAGACTCTCATGTCTGTGTTCAGACAATTTATTCTTCCTTTTGAAATGATCTCTAGCTCAGCTCCTGCAGTCTTAATCCCTGGTCAGCTTGACACCTCACTGTGGCCAGTATAATCACATTCATTCTTTCTGGTCTCATTCTGCCCACCCATCCTCATTGGACTTGTGTAGGTGTACACAAGGGTATTCAGGGTGGG